AATAATAAGAATGATTGAGATTATTTAAATGAATTCTTGCAAACGAAACATTCTGCCAAAATCTGTATTATCTAATCTTTAATAAGTTATGTATGTGTGTGTGCAGTATGTTATTTAAAAAAAAAAAAAAAATATTCTTGTCAACACTGAAGATAAACATGAAACAGCCAAATAGGGATTATATGTTAAGGGCACTTATTTAATTTTTTGCTTTAAAATTATATTTGATTTGGTTTATTTTATTTTTTAGAGAAAAATATGGCAAAATCAAAGTTAGAATTGAGCAAAGCAAAAAGGAAAATCGAACTTTGGCTCCCAAGTATAAATCTCTACGCAAATATTTGAGTAAATACAAAACAGATGATATCTACATGGTACAGAGCATTCCTTCCAAGATGCAAGGTAAACAATTCTCACTGTTTGCATCTCAAGAATAAAATTAATTCTTTATAAAACCTCTTCTCGTTCAGTTTTTTTGTGTAATTTCAATATTAGACATGAAAAATATATTCAGTTAAATAACCCAGAATAATTTTACACAAAAATCTTGTTCTTATTAATTTTCATACTTTAAGAATTGTGCTCTCTGCATTCATTTTCTATATTAAGATTAGCATATTCCAACTATTCCCAATTAAAAGTTTTTAAACTTACCTACTTGACATTGATTCTAAATTTATTGTTTCTTAATCATTTTTTATTTTTTCTTATATTTTCTATTTACAGTATTTACATTAGTCGGACTATTGTCCTCATCTTTGTCGCCTATATTTGTCACAACGTTTCGCCACAGCGCCCGCCTTCTTCAGGTGGTTGGAATTTTAACTGAACCCTTTATTTCTCGATCGCTGGGGTAGACTGTTCTAATTCCATTGCAATATGTTTGATGGATGTCAGTTATCAGTTATCTCCTGCTAATTTTCCCTCTGAAAGTTCTCCACTGCCTTAATCCAGAATTGAACTCACCTTCTTTTGGGTCTGTCACTGGATCTAACCAACGCCTTTATCCACTGTGCCATCTGGGTATGAACTTCTGAGTATTATAAACCTAATGTTTTTCAGCATCATTTTTACCAGTGCTCATATTGCAATTTTGCTGTTATCATTGTATGTCTTTACCAGGAGTTCATATTGCAACTTTGTTATCATTGCTTTTCTCTGGCACCCTTATTACTGGTTCCATATTGTATTTATTTCTATGCTTGGTCGGCTCAGGAGATTTTGTGGCCTAGCATATGTGCTGATTCCTTAAGTTTACGAATTTTCCAATGGTGTTCCTGTCTATGATCTCAACATGATCCCACAGGGGGGGCGGTGATCTCCTTCTCTCTCCATATGTGGTCAGCCACGCCTGATTTTCTACTTCCCCTCGCGTTACAGCTTTCTGGTGTTCTTGAAGCCTTACCTGAGGGGGCGGCCTGTCTCTCCTTTATATTCCCTTTCGCAGCTGCATGGGATAGCGTTACACACAGTCTTTAGTCATGTTCCCTCTATGGGGGTCTCACTCGTGAGAGATACCTGCGAAGTGTTGTCACGCTTTTGAAGTTGTCCTGATGTTATATGGACCACAGATCTTTTGTATTTTCTCTGATAACCCCTTCACATACGCGGGGAAACGTTAGGACAAATATACAAAGATGAGGACAATAGTCCTAATTAATGTAAATACTCAAAACATAATAACCTCATCTCAGAAATATAGACAAAATTTTCTATTTAGTCTTTGATAAGCAGAAAACATGACAGAAATATTGTTTGTTAATGATTCAATGAAGTTTTTTTTTAATTAAAATTGACAAAAAAAATATAATTTTCTTGCTTTGTCCATTAAAGCAAAATTAGTTCTTACATTTAGATACTAATGCTTTTCACATTTTATCTAAATTTAAGTCCTTCAAACTTCATTTTTTATTTAGCTTTCATTCACTAGTTTAAAAGAAGCACTTAAGTTTTCTTTATTTTTTGTTAGCTCATATGTGCTTAATTGATTAAAAGTTCACCACAATTGCTACGAAGTAAGAATTATTTTTATTCTGAGAAGTTAGTTGCTTTTAGAATAAATATAATAAAATTTTGATTAAAAAATTTACAATATTTCAGCATTGTGCAAAAAAAACCCCTAACTAATCATTCTAAATTATTGTTTTATTGTCCCTGACACAATATTAATATATGCATGTCACTCTGAAAGTAATGGCAATAATTTTCTTTTGCCTTATCACAGTAGCTGAGTCAAAGTCTGGTAAAATGACATCTGACATGAAAGCACATACAAAGCAGAGAGGTGTCATTGAAATCACTCATGCAGAAAAAATAGCACTGACATTCAGTGACACTTTATGAACATTTATGGGGACCAAACTGTGAATGTAAGCCCAATTAGAAGCTGGGTAATGTTTCAGTAATCATGCGTAAGAAGCCATGTTCCAGATGACCCTGTACAGCTGTCTACCTATCAAAAGCTTCTTGATTAGGGAAAATATAAGCAGTAGTGGTGACTGTCGAAAAATATATATTTTTTTTTATAGGTGAAAACTTGCTCCCTCTCCAATGGTCTTATTGTGCTCCCTGTATGCATTGTAGTTTTCATGGATATAATTGGGGAGAATTACTTTTAGTGTACCTTGTGTGTGTGTGTGTGTGTGTGTGCGCACACAGTGAAAGTAAAATCACATGATTTTTTTCTTTCCCCCCATGATTTTACTTTGACTTTCTTAAGATTAGCATATTTGTCTCTCATGGTTTGTTATTAATAATTTCTGCCTTGTTCAGGTGAAGTCAATGTTCCTTACACCCTGCATTGTGGAGGATTCCAGAAAGCTTTGCAGGATAGTGTGTTATGGTTGAGCAGTGGTGGAACCCGTTCAGTTTTGCATTATGATGGCATGGACAATTTTAATTGTGTTCTTGATGGAGAGAAGAATGTTCTACTTTTTGATACGGTTAGTATATTACTGGATATTTCTAGGATATATTTTTCATCAAATATTAATAATTTGCAGGTAAGTGATATAAAAAATATTAATTTTATAGTTGCACTAATTTCAGCATAAAGTTGATTTTATAAAAGGAAAAGATGAAAACAATTTTCTTTTATTTTTAAAAGATTGTATCACATATTTAAAGAATTAAGTATCTGGTTATTTCACATTAAGTTTTATTTTAATTAGACATTTTAGCATAAAATAAACAGCTGTCTTCAAAATTCCCACATATTGGTGGCACTAGTTTTGTATGCCATAATCTTTTTACTAATTCTTTTTATCCATTTTTGTTAATTTAATTTCTATGGTACTAATATTTGATCTTATGATATTAATCTATAACAATATGAATTTAGTGCAATTTTTCTTTCCTCAATCTTTCAACCAGAACCTGAAAAATGTCTTAAATTTTATAACTAAGTTTTACAGTTGTTTTGATTTGAAACTTTTATAAAATTATGAGTTAAGAATTCAAATAAAAAAACATTAACTTTTTTTTTTAAATAGTTTGCAAATTCTTAAGAAAAAAAAAAAAAAAAAAAAAAACTTTGATGTCTGAATTGTAAATTATTTAAGACCTCAAGAATAAATCTACTCACAATGAAAAGAGACATAAAAGATATTTAGTACAATTTTTTCATGTATTATTCTTTCAGGATTTTATTGGAAAATAAAGTTTAATTACATAATAAATCATAGTTTGAACATAGACCCTGTTTGCTTTGCAAGATTGTTTAGCAAAAGGTTTACATTTAATGTTAACTTTTCAGATTCATACTTGTTGTCACATGTTCCCAAACCATTATTTAAAATCCCCCGGTTGACTCACAAAAAAAAATTATTTTTTTAAAAGAATAAGACAACTGTTTTTTGAATAACTTCTATTATAATTAAGGTAGTTTTTCATCAATTCTTCCTCTATCTGAAAATAGTTCTTGAGGAAAATTAGATTTTTTTTATGTGTTTTGTTAGATGAGGGGTGGTTGATTGAATTTTGTGTCTGTACGAACTTCTATTAATTTTATATGTAAAACAATGCCTGGATCAGAGGCTTTTGTTTTTTAATCAATTTTTGTCTTTGGAGAATCTTGATATCACATTTCTCTAGATTTGTTGTCTCTTGTTCTACTATAAAAATTATACAACAGTTTAAGAACTCAGCTTGAAATTTTTTTAGATATTTTAAGTTAATTTATTTCCAGATTTTGAAAATTCTTTTGAATAATGAATTTTTATTTTTGATACAAAAAGGGTCTTACAAAAATTGATGTTGAAATGTTGATCCACAAATTAAAAAAAGCCTCATTGAAAACAAATGACTATTTGTTCATTTCAAGGAAAAAGGTGACTGTAAAAAAATTCCTTGCAGGTAAGTAATGTTTTTCTTTTTAATCCATTGCAAAAGTTGAGTTCTTTGTACAACACTCTGGCTAATTTTTTGTTTGGTAAATTATAAATTTATATCAATATTTAACAGGATCTGTTTTTATGCCAAACCAATTAAACAAAATTTTTTTAAGATTTTATCTCAACTCATTTAAATTAACAATCGAAATCAAAATTGTAAAATCTCTTATATTATTTGGAATGATAAAACTAATGTTGCATCATCTAAAATTTTTTGACTGTAGAAATTGAAAGACACCAACATGTAACAAATTTTAAAAATTTTATATAAATGGATTTATTTAGAAGTTAAATCATCTCATCTTAAAGTCTGAATTATTCTGATTGAAAAACCCTTTAAAAACAATGAGTGATACCTGATGTTTATGGTTTGAGGAAGCCAGAAACAAAGATGTGAAAATGGGATCACGACCTTTTTTTTTGTGAGAATACTAGTCAGATTAATGAAAATAATACTCAGAACTTTAATCAATCATGATTCTATCTCCTAGCTATATAGAATTAACTTTAATCACCTGTGTTTTTTATTTGGATGAAATGTGTTGTCATTCTTTTGAAGGACAATTATTGAATTATAAGTTTTATAGAGAAATCAATGAGAAAAACTATCTTTTAAAATTAAAAAATTCAATATGTTTAACTATTTGCAGACAGATTTTACATCTACACCTTGAGAGCTGTTGTACCTTTGTGTGATAAAAGTGCATTTTTTCTAGCCAAACAAAAATTGAATTTTTAAGAACTTTTTTAATTTGAGGTATTTGTTGGATTTACCAAAAACTGCACAAAGGAATAATAATTTATTACAAAGAGTTATAATGGTGTACAGTTTTAGTCATATTATGGCTGTCAATGGCACATGATACATAAATAGTGTTAGCTTAGTTGCCTGATTTTTGAATAGGTTTAGACCAGGGATGACCAACACAGGCACCAAGGCAATGTTGCATGATGTGTTGCATTAGGTGACGAGGTGGAGATTTGCCAGTTAATTTACAATTAACAGACATACACTACTATATAATATAATATAGATAATGAAAACTTATTTGATATTGTTAAATATATTTTCACTTTTGAACAAAAATCATCTCTATCTACTAACATACAAATGAAACTTGTTGATTTGATAACAACTTCATTATTAACAAGGAAATATTCCCTCAGTTCTTTTCATTAACCTGAACTAAAAAAAATTTGTCAAATCCACTATCAGACATTTTTTCAGAAAAATATCAACAAAAGTTTAACACAGTTATTTTCATTTTAAATTTTAAAATTTTTTTTTTTTTTTAAAGCAAAATAAATTTGCTGTTACAATTAATTTAACTCCAAACATCTAAAGTTTGATAAAATAAACATAGACTTAAGTTTCATTAAGGAAGGAAGCAATACTAAATCTTTTATATTAAATGTTAAATATATTTATGTAAATCTGCTCCCTCTTGGGAAGAGTATTTTAGAGCTTCAAGGTTGAATTTAAGCACAGATTGTCAAATCTAAAACAGTTCAGATTAAATCTTAATCTAATGACAATGCATCTCTTTCAGTCAATCTTTGAACAAAGAAAAGACATTTGACTTTGAGAAAAGACAATTAATCTTGCTTGACAATACTGTAAAATGTAGTAGAAGCTAAAATTGTTGATAACAATAAGTCTAGCAGTTTGTGGACAGTAGTAAAAAAGAGTAACAGTTGGGATTTTGAAGCAAACATGTTTTGTGCTCTTTTCCTCAGACAGGAACAGAAAAATATATTCTTTTAAAGTGTAGGAAACAAGATCATATTTTCATTAAAATTTCTGTTAATTCAAAAAGTTCAAACCCATACAATCCCAGACCCTAAATTCATTTCACTATAATTTTAACTGATTCAAAAAGAAAAACCCATGTCCAAAGTATTTTGGTTACAAATTTATTTAAAACAACATTAAAAAGTAGCAAAAATTTTAAAAAAAATATTTATAAGTTGATTAGAATATTCAGAATAGGATAAAGATTTGAAAAAGAATTTAGAAAGTCTAATGGGGGGATGGTTCTCTCCTCTCCATAAATGTTACCAAATGAAAATTAAAAAAGAAGATATTTTGGTTTCCTATCCATGATTTAGTGCCATTTTTTTTTGTATCTAAATGAATATATTGGTTAAGAAAGGGAAGCCTTCTTTGACAGTGTGTATTTATATATTAGCTATATATATATATATATATACTAAAAAAAAAAAAAATGCAGTTTTAGATGCATAATTTCTGCATAAAATTTAAACTTATTGTTTTCCTTTGTTCAATATCTATGCAAGTATAAACTAGAGTTAGTTGGTTTGGTAATTTATGTTTTGGTATCAGTTTCCATTTTTATTTTCCTTGATACTGTGGTTTTCAATCTGGTTTTTCGGTTTTTAATTTAGTATTTTTGCTTTCTAAGGAAGCCATTCATTTTCTTGTGTAATGATAGCATTTCCTGTCAATATCTGATTTCATTTGAAAATGATAAATTTGTAACTTAGTCCGTTCAACTTGCAATATCTCATGTATTTATGGTCCAATCTTAAAAATATTCATGGTTGAAAAAAAATAAAATAATCTTTCTAAATATGTAATTTTTATGTGCTTTTATTCATTGAATTATTTATATTCATAGAGTTAAAATTTTTTTTTTTTTTTGAACAGCCAAAAAGTTGTGAAAATGATTTTTTTTTGAAGACTAAATTTTTATGCAAAATATAAATCTTGAAAACTTTATCAATATTTTTTAAATTCTACACTCAATTAGAAGACAACTTAAACTAAAACCAGGAATATGTTCATTTCTTCTCTGACCTGATGAACCGAATTCCTTCAAAAATTATAAAGTTAAGCAAAAAATAAAAAAAAACCTAATTATTTTCTGGTACGCCAGTCAACTATTATTAGGGTTTGCAAATAAATTTCTTCTAAACAAAGAAAATCAATGAGTTATTTTTCCCCTAAATAAATTTGTTTTTATCTAGCAAATACACTTAAAATTAAATATTAAAAATAATTAAAAGCTTTTAATTTCATTTTTAGAATGTGTAGATTTCCAAATCTACAAGTATCACCTGTTCTTTTTTAGATACACATTTTAAAACTGAAATTAAAAACTATTTTAATCATTTTAATATAATCGTATTTAAGTGTATTATAAATAAAGATAAAATCATAAATATATTTGTAAAAATAAAATGAATTAATTTTCCTTGTTTAGAAGAATTTTATCAATGGAACAATAACAAAAACCCACTGAACACTAGTGGCTAAAAAAGAATAATTTTTACATTGAGTTTAAAAAAAAATGACTTGCAGGTTTGAAAATCTACACATTTTAAAACTGAGATTAAAATTTTATTTTTTTAATATCTAATTTTACATGTATTTGCTAGATAGAAACATAATTTTATTTGTAGAAAACAGACTCGCATATCTGGAAATATTCACATCTTAAAAGTGAAATTAAGAACTATTTTAATTATTCTTAATATCCAATTTAGGAGCATTCCCTAGATAAAAAACAAGTTTATTTATAAAAAAAAAA